GAAACTTGGAGCTTGTTGGTGAAGAGATTATTCTTAAAGTGATCCGACGAGACATAGTCATACGCTTTAATTCCCTAACTTTTGCCTGGACCACCCTTTCAGGTTTTCGATCCACCGGGAAACCCTTTTTTGCCAAAGTCGCCCTTTCGGGTTTTCAACTTGCCGAGTGTACAGGTTTTTTGTTTTATCCCTAATTTTTGCCTGAACCGCCCTCTCGAGTTTTCGATTCACCGGGATGCCCATTTTTTCCCAAGTCGCCCTTTCGGGTTTTCAAATTACCGGGTCGTTTTATGCGTAATACCTTTTGACTATGTCTGCATTTGCAGGGTGCGGCAAGTCGTCGCCGTCCATGGTGGTCAAAATCATTGCCCCACTAGAAAAGATGCTCTTAATCACAAATGGTCCTTCGTAAGGAGGAGTCCACTTGCCCCTGGGATCACTTTGCGGTAAGGTGATCCGCTTGATTACAATATCTCCGACTTGATATACATGACGCCTGACTTTCTTGTTGAAAGCCTTAATCATCAGTTTTTGATACGTCTGACCATAACAAATAGTAGTAAGTCGCTTCTCATTGATTAGATTAAGTTGATTAAGCCGGGTCTGAATCCAATCGTCTTCACTCAAACCAGCGTCCTTCATAATCCTCAGAGAAGGAATCTGAACTTCCATGGGTAGAACAGCTTCCATGCCATACACCAAAGAAAATGGGGTTTCCCCTGTTGAAGTACGTGCCATGGTACAATATCGTTGCAGAGCAAACAGTAACATCTCATTCCAGTCCTTGTAGGTGACTGTCATCTTTTGAATGATCTTCTTAAAATTTTTGTTCGCGGCTTCAACAGCACCGTTCATCTTCGGCCGATAGGGAGATGAATTGTGATGATAAATCTTGAATTGTTCGCATAGAGCGGTGATTATAGTGTTGTTCAAATTTGTACCGTTGTCTGTGATGATCCTGTCGGGGACACCATAACGGCATATGAGGTTCTGCTTGATGAAGCGGGCAACCACATTCTTTGTAACTGAGGCATAGGAAGCTGCTTCGACCCACTTGGTAAAATAGTCAATAGCCACTAGGATGAAACGATGTCCATTGGATGTCGTAGGCTTGATCTCTCCAATCATGTCAATGCCCCACATTGCGAATGGCCAAGTAGCTGTCAGAACGTTGAGAGGAACATGAGGAATATGTACCTTGTCGGCGTAGACTTGGCATTTGTGGCAGGTGCGGGAATGTTGATGATAATCAGCTTCCATGGTAGACCAGTAGTAGCCTGCCCTTAGGATCTTCTTAGCCATCGTATGTCCGCTCAAGTGGGTGCCAAATGTGCCACTGTGTATCTTAGTCATGATCAACTCTGCTTCAACCTTGTCCACATAACGAAGTAGAACACAATCATGGATGCGCTTATAAAGGATGCCATTGCTTAGGAAGAACTTGGCAGCTAATCTCCTTAAGAACTTTTTGTCGTTGACAGAAGCTCCTTTAGGGTATTCTCTAGTCTGGAGATACCTTTATTATTATTTTTTGTTCTTATTATTCAATAAAATAAAGTATATATATATTTATATATATATATATATATATATATATATATATATATATATATATATATATATATATATATATATATATATATATATATATATATATATATATATATATATATATATATATATATATATATATATATATATATATATATATATATATATATATATATATATATATATATATATATATATATATATATATATATATATATATATATATATATATATATATATATATATATATATATATATATATATATATATATATATATATATATATATATATATATATATATATATATATATATATATATATATATATATATACATATATACATATATATATATTAGATGTATAAAAGTAAAAATTAATTTTTACAAAAAAAGGTATATATTTCAAGAAAATATTTTCAAATATGTAAAAAATAAAATAAATTATTTAAGTATTATTTGTATTATTTTTAAGTTTTAACAAAAGAAAATAAGATATTTAACATGTTTACATTAGGAAAAATTAGAATAAAATATCTAATAAATGGAAAAAAATATGAAAATATTTTTGGGATATTTTTTATGTTTTCAAATAAAATATTAAAGTCAGAGAAAAAATAAAAATGCAAAAATAATGAAAATACAAAACAATGGGCCAAGGGGGTGTGAACTGAAGATGTATGTGTAAAAAGCAAAAGCAATCATGCCCAGCCCAAGCAACTTCATCTTCTTCCTCAGTTCAAACAAAAACGCGCGTTCTGTACATCAAATGATATCTCTTGATTCCTTGCTTTTTTGACAAAACTCATAACATGAAACTTGTAGAGCATCAAACAACGAATCCAACCATATAAAAAACTTAAGCTAACTCTCAAAGACCAGAGAGAATTTCTATGGCCCTAATTCTTAACCTAGTTTTTTCAGAAAGTTCATGAACAAAATTCTCCTAGCACGATTAATATAAATGAAAACTAAGCACATGTATGGTTTCAGGGCTATGAGTACAACATCTTTCATTCACAAACCTAAGTCTAACTATTCCTAAATAGAGAGATAAAAGTTCATGAAATACCTGTTTCAGTTGACTTCGAGTTGGACAATGCAGCAACTTCCAAGGGTGCTTAAGGTTCTTTTGAGCTTGCCTGATGTCCAATGAAGCTTTCCCAATGCTTAGTTTATTTTGAAGTAGCTTGAATCGTGCTACAGAACTCAACCTGCAAAGCTTTGAAACAAAAATGGAAATGTGTGTTAATGGTGTTACAGCTAGCAATGGAGGTATGGAATAGTTCAGGTGTGTTGATTGGAAGGTGTTTGAAGTATCTTTAGGCAAAACGTACGATGGAATTTGATGATGGCTTGCAAAATGCAGAATTGGCCCTGTTTTGCAAGAAAATGGGGAATTTATGAGAGGTCAAGGACCCGTGTTTCTGGCTTTCTAGGGTGTATGAAAATTGTTTGACAACTTTGTTTTAGTTGGTTTTATCAGATGTGGAGATGCCTTGTGTTTTGCAAGTTTTCCTCTTCTTTAAGCAAAAGAGTGGAAGTGAGGTTATAGACTTGTACATGCCATCCTATCACCCTGCACACAACCCTCTTGGCCCCTCTAATTAATGGATTTTGTTTGAAGCATAAGATCTAGTTCAATGATCTAGGATGTTGTTTTGACATAAAGCAAAGTTCAAGGAAAAATGGCATTGTTACTTTTTTCCATTTAAGGCTTAATCTAGTGTATAATACCCTAATGACCAAGACAATGCCTTTTCTAAGTGGATATGCATTAAATTATGGAGTACAAACTGGTTTAGAGGCCTTTAATTGTGAACCAAGCTAGCTAGATCATATTTGGAAAGTGGTATGAACATGTACTGCCCATGGATCAAAGTGAGTTTTTGCCAACTTCAAGCTTTCGATTCTCCCTAACCACAAAGGTGTTTGAGGAGTTCTCGGATAATTTGGAAAGCTTGCAACATTTAATACAATCCATATTTGAAATGAAACTTGAAAATCCAAGTGGAACTATGTGAAAAATGGCCAAGAAGATGGGTCAAAATCCTGCCTAAACTAGGGCAAAATTTTTCAAAGTTAAAAGTTTTAGGTACCCTTGTTCCAAAAATCATAAATTGAGATAAAAGCTTCTTTTTGAGAAAACTTTGTGAATCAAATTTGTATACTTTGTGATGGACTACAACTTTCATTTTTCATGTTTTGTTTGAATCCATTTGCATCTTGGTGAAAAAATGGGACAAAGTTAGGAAAAAATAAGAAAATTTTATAACTTAGAAAATTTCTAAATTATGAAAATTTTCCATTTTAAACCCTAATTTTCATTTTTGGGTTTCTTGATGAACAAGTTTCATATTTTGACATGTCTTGATGAAAAATGACTCTTGGCACTTGATTTTGACCAAAAAGTCAAAGTTTGACTTTTCAGTATACAGTCAAATTTTGATTAGTTGACTGAAAAATTCATCTTTCAATCCTATGCATTTGAGATATTTTGAACTTTTTGAATGGGTCAAGACAATGTAATTGAGTCCTTGAGTCCATGGTTGAGCTTGATTTGCCATTGTCTAGGTCAAACAGTCAAAAATTGCCTTTGTACAGTCAAAACCCTAAAAATGACCATTTTGCCCTTTTGGTGATCTGATCAAATTTCTTGTGGAATTGTGATCCAAACTTGATCAAATGGTTCATATGAGTTCATAATGTTGATCTGAATCAAATTTCATGAGGTTTGACTGTTAATTGGCCACAGTTGACTTTTTCCCCAGTATAGTTGGATTCTAGGTCAATTGCCCAATTGACTGGGCAAAAATTTGAATCAAGGCTTGAAACTTGGTATGCACAAACTTATGAGTCCAACATTAAGTATGAAAGTCACTTTGGGCATTGTAGGTCAAAACATCACTGTGCAAACTCAAACCCTAATGTAGGTCAACAGTGCAAGGAAGTGTCTTGAGCAGGGCAAACCCTAGCTTGAACTTGAGTTCCAAGAGTCTTGTGATGAGAAATGTTGATGAAATGAGAGGGAAAATTTTGGGGTACCATAGCCATTTATTCCTAAACAACTTCAATGGTGAGGTTTGGATTTCTCAAACTTTATTGACTAGGGCATGTAAATAAACTCATGAACCCATGGATCAACTTGTTAAGCCATATTGCCTTTAGCTACATTATTAACAAGATAAACTGACATTGCATTTTATTACTTAAAAGGAAAATTAAAGGAAAACATGCATGATCACAAAGGAAAAAAACAAGTCAAGGTGCTTGGTGATTCCTCAAAGGGAAAAGCTAAGGATAGGGAGGAGAACCAAAAGCCCTAATGTGATCTTGTTGTGATTGAATCAATATGGTATGATGAAGGGATCTTAGGGGGAAATTGTGGTACAACACAAAGCCGTGAACCAATATGGACATACACCAAGCATGTCCAATACTATCCAGACCTGCTACAAACCAGCCTGCAAAATCTGTCCATAAAACCATGACCTCGCTGCCATACAATAGTCCAAAACTGTTGTCACCATGCACCACAAACAACTAGCCCAAAATTCCTTTGCCCAGCCTGCTTTAAACCCGACAAAACATTCATAAATTAGTCCATAAAGTGCATTAATTACATCAAACTTGTCCAGCAATTACACAAAACTATATCAAACATAAACTGCATCAAGAAAGCTAGAACTAGCATACCAAAACAGTTCAAACTTATCAAACTTTCCCTCCCAAATTTAGTTTATCCCATCTATAAATAAGTATGTCTCATGGCAAAAATAGAAGAGATAAAATAAAAAAGCGTAAACCATACAGAAAACTCCACAACCTCTAGCCTTGTATCCTCAAACCTCTCTTCCATTCTCATATCTCATGATCTCTGCTACTAATGCATCATCTCTCAACAACCACACCCACAAATTTTCTCCCTCATACAAATTTCCCTTAACCTTCACAAACATACCGCATATTCTTCCATCACTTCTCACCACCAAACTTCACTCATCATCACAGCCAACCTCACACTAACCCCAACACCCTATATTGAACTCTACTGCATAACCTAACATTACTGACCCACACTAACCAAATCAAAATCAATAACAAAAGAATAGATGAAGAAGGATTAAAACTAAGAACAGACGAGAGAGATGAATCAACATCAAAACATACCGTAGTATCTAAACTCTTTGCTGGCGTCAAAATCCACGGACTAGCTCTGAACTTGTAAGTTTTCTCTTCTGTTTTCTCAAATTTATCGTAGTTATAGTTATATCGTTTTTTTTCTCTAGAATCTATAAGAGAGTGATCCGTAGGGAGTTTACGGTTTAGAGTGTTATCTTTGTTGTTGTGAAACCATGAGAAACCGCACATGGATGGCGTTTTGTTATTGTTTTTTAATTCACGAGTAACTAAGGTTTGTTGGGTTTTATTTTTGTTACGGTATTAGGAAGCAGAAAAATAGAGAAAGAAAAAACTTATGGTTGCTATTGTAGAAACCGAGAAATAGGTTCCTGTTGTTAGACGTGAAGCAGAGGAATTCATAAATAGCATGAGGGATTGAGAACAAGAGATGAAGTTAAGTTGAAAAAAATTATTTTTTAGTTGTTGAAGCGAGAATGAGAATTAGCAGCAGAGGGGGTATTTCGTTAAAAGATGAGAAGTTGGTGTTGTGTTTAAGCGAGTAATAGAGGATGAATCATGGAAATATAGCGCTTGAGAGAGAAGGATTGAATGACCAATTTGTCTTAGAACTACTAGGTTTTTTAGATCATTCATTCCTTTGGGCCTTAGCTCAACCCGGCCCAATTCGACTCTCATTACACACATTCCACTTTTTTTATATTACTGAAGACAATTTTTGAATCTGACACTCAAGCCCATCCAGATTCTTATTCCACCTTAGGACCCAGCGTCCCATTTTTTTTTTCTATATTTTTTTTGTTTATTATTTGGGCCTCATCACATGTATTTCAGAGCCCATATCCGAATTACACACTACATCCCTCCAATTTTCATTTTTTGATTCATTATTTAGCAAGGTACAGAAAAGAAAAACATGTTTGGCTAGACAGCAAGCCCAACAAATTTTTACTCTGGCCCGGTAACGAAAGTTTCTCATGCTGCACCTCCATAATCTTGCCCACACCCCCCTGAATTACTGCATTTCAGGCCCATTCTCTATATTCATTTACATTTGTTTGTATTGTATTATTTTGTTTTATTATTTTGATTTCTATCAATTACAAATACAAAAAACATATAAACACTTTTTTAACTAAATAATTAAAATAAAAAAATATTATTTTTATATTATTAATTATTTTGCTAATTAATTTTATTAAATAGATTGTTATAGTTTAATTAATTGTTTATTTTTAATTTGATTGGGTTGTATTGATTGTTTATTTAGACTTTTAATCGTATTGTCAATTCGACTCATCCCCATTTGTAAATTTGTACCCCCATTCTCGAAGCCTTGTAATAGCGTAGAACTTTAATTTTCACAATTTACTACTTTCCTTATTATTGTTAGTTTAATAAGATTTTATGGCAAGATCTGAAATAAAACACTAGATAACCATAAATCCAAGGTAAATTAACTGAAATACAAACACTTTTCACACGCGCACCTCTAGGCTGACTCCACTTGTTGCCTCGGAAAAACAGTCATGTCCCTCCAAAGTAGGACGCTTTAGCAAAAGACCCTCGATTAAAAAATATCGTAGTCCCTCGATGACCCTTCGATGTTTCCTTCGTTAAAACGATCTTAGTCCCTTACGAAAATTGCTAAAGCGTCCCACAAGTTTCCTTCTATGACTGTATGATGACCCCTGCCTGTCCCTCACATCCAATGATAGGGCTTCCTACTAACTAATGGTAGGGTATCACTATCTAAAGGAGGAGGAAAAGAACAAAGACTTTTTGAGTAGGTAGATTGCTCGTAATTTCTTTCTCACAAACTAAAACCATTTTCATAGCTCACACATTCAAAAACAAACATCTTTTCAAACACTCTCCTTTTCAACAAATATTTTCAAAATAAACACTTTGTATGCGTTCTCAACGATACGAGAATCATTACAAAGTATGCCGTGTCAAGGAGTTTTCAAAATATTTCTAAGATAAAAATTTTGTATACATTCTCAACGATACGAGAATCATTACAAAATTACCATTTTTTAAAACATCTTCAAACATTTTCAAACATACACAAACACAAAGTATTTCAATGTGAGCTAGCAATTAAGAGCCCGTAGATAACTACGAGTGAAAAGGGTGCTAACACCTTCCCTTTTCATAACCTACCCCCTGAACTCAGAAAATTATCAATGGTCTTTCCTGTTCTTTTCACCCTTTACTTTATTTGATAAAATAAAAGCCAGTGACGACTCTTTCTATCCGCAACATTTGCGATAAAACGCAAAACACCAAGTCAGTTCTCCCATCATATCACACCGGTGCAACATATCAATGTACTATGGTAGCTTTGTTCCATGACATGATTCATCACGAGATTGAGGTTTAAGTTGATGACATGATAGCTAGATCTCAGGGTAAAGAAGAACATCTCGACCACCTGCACAAGCTATTTGAGAGGTTGAAGAAATACAAGTTGAGGTTGAATCCAAACAAGTTCACTTTTGGGGTATGATTTGTTAAACTCCTAGGTTTCATCGTCAATAATAAAGGGATTGAAGTTAATTATGCCAAGGTTAAATCCATTAAATAAATTCCAGCTTCATGTACTGAGAAGGAAGTCAGAGGTTTCCTAGGACGATTGAACTACATCGTTAGATTTATTTCCCATTTGACTGCTACTTGTGAGCCAATCTTCAAGTTATTGAAGAAAGATCAATTAGTGAAGTGGAATGAAGAATTTCAGATAGATTTTGACAAAATCAAGGAGTACCTCCAAGAACCTTCGATTCTGGTGCCACCTATTGAAAGAATACCTCTGATCATGTACCTAACAGTATTAGAGAACTCAATGGCGTGTGTATTGGGGAAACATGACGAGTATGGTCGAAAAGAGCATGAAATATAATACCTTAGAAAAAGATTTACTGACTGTGAAACAAGATACTCACTGCTCGAGAAAACTTTATGCGCTTTGGCATGGGATGCTCTCCGACTAAGACATTATATGTTGACTCATACTACTTTGTTGATCTCTAAGATGGATCCGATAAAATACATATTTGAGAAATTCGTTCTCTACGGAAGAATAGAAAGATGGGAAAGGGTCTTGACAGAATATGTCATTCATTATACTACCCATGAGGCAACCAAAGGAAGTGTACTAGTAGATCACATGACTCATCAAGCTGTAGATTACTATCAATCTATGAATTTCGAGTTCCCGGATGAGAAAATTTTGCTAGTTATAGATTATGAAGAACCTGGACCGTATGAAGGACCTGAGTTAGGATCCCCATGGACTATGGTTTTTGATGGAGCTTCCAACGCGCTTGGTAATGGAATTAGGGTTGTGATTATCTCTCCCAAGGGTTTCCATACACCCTTCACCGCCAGATTGTGTTTTGACTGTACCAATAACATGGCAGAATACGAAGCATGTATCATGGGTATCAAAGCTGCCATTGATATGAGAATCAAGTTCTTGGATGTGTATGGGAACTCAACTTTAGTAATCAGTCAGATTAAGGGAGAATGGGATACAAAGCACCCAAATATCATTCCTTATTGAGAGCATGTGTTGACATTAATTTTGTACCTCGAGGAAATCACTTTTGAACATATTCCACGAGAAGATAATCAATTGGAATACGCATTAACCACCATGTCATCTATGTTCAAAGTCATATGGGACAATGAAGCACCTCAAATTACTATTTAGATACTAGATGATCTGGCACATTGCTACGAAATTGACACAGATGAGTAGAGGAAAAGCCTTGGTTTCTTGAAGTGAAAAGATATCTTGAGTATCCTGAAGGAGAATCTATCAATGACAAGAAATTTCTACGGAGGTCTCTGCCAAGTTCTTTCTTAGCAACGAAATTTTGTACAAGCGCAATTATGATTTGACTCTGCTTCGGTGTGTGGAGAAGAAGGAAGCTTAGAAGATTATGGAAGATTAAAGAATGGAAAAACACAAGAATGGGGGTTTGATTTGGGGTTTTTAAAACATTAAGTAAAAAACATGTTGGTTATCCAGGTTCATTTGAAATCAAACTACTCCAGTCCACCCGCCAAAGTTATTTCCCCTCTCTCAACGAAGTCTTAATCCACTAATCAAACTTGATTACACAGCTACTATGACAACCGTCAAAGTCTTCTTGAGTTTAAACCACAACCCGGTTTTCTCAATGAATTACACTATACAATATTTAAGAGATTGTACAAAAAGTGTTTTCTAATAAAACAGTATCACACAAGTGATGTTTTACACAAATGAAATTCAGTATGTTGAAGATGATGAAGATGAATCGTTTATTGTTCACACAAAATCATAAATGATTTCTCCTTCAGGATTTTTTTATATAGGCAATGCATGTGGGAGCTTTTGGAATGTTGATAAATAGTAATTAAAGAAATTTCCAAAAATAGAGATTCTTATTCCCTTTCAGCTGTTACTTTTGAATAGCCATAAGTGATTTGTAACGCTTCAGAACATGCTTGCTTCAGAAGATGAATGTTACCATTACTTCTTTCTAGAACTGTATGAATTAGAATAACGAAGTTCCTGTTCGTAGCGTTTAGGCACTAAGATGTTGCAGCCTTAGAACTTCTTTATAAAAGATGTATTGAATCAGAGTTTAAACAACTATTTAACTCATCTTTTGTGCTTCTTCCATCATAACTTCAATGCAAAACAAAATATTTATTTAGGGAGAATAATTGTTCTTTGAGTGTTTGTTATCATCAAAAATCTTACAAGGGTTGTAGAATGAAACTATGTTCTAACAATCTCCCCCTTTTTGATGATGACAAAAACTTGGATATTTCTATAGAAACTTAAAGAACATAAAGCATTTAAAGTCTCCCCCTGAGTTGAATACTCAAAAAAAGAAGAAATACTTCCCTGAAGATTATTCTGATCAGAGTTTTTGAGAAAAGAAACTATGGTGCATCCACTTCTGTCCTTAACAGAGTTTGTTCCTGTTTTGCTTTCAGAAAAAAAAAACAGTAGAAGTTATGATATTCAAAATGTTTGAGACTGAGTCTTGACACTGTTACATTAGAAATATCTTACGTTCTCCCCTTTTATTTGTCAGGCATTAAAAAGTAATAAAACACTTTAAGCAATAAAAGACTATTGTATTCAAACAGATTTCAAAATAACACAATTTGAAGAAAACAAATAACAAGAACATAATGCAGAAAACAAATTTCAGAATTAAGTTTGA